ACACAAAATGCCCTGTCCTTTTAGAATAATTGCAAGACATTTAAAAAACCACAGGAAGCCCTAAAAGTTGAGAAATCCATATTTATAGAATTAAAGATGGGCAATTACTTTTACCTGTGAAATGACCAACAATTATCATAACTCGGAGTGAGGCAAAACAAAGGGAGGAAACGGCAAAATGCCAGTGATGTGACACACGCAGTGTAATCCGCGCTCTAATGCATGAACACAGACACAGACACACACACACGCACACAGCTGCTAACGAGCAGCGGTGCCAGTCAATACAGCAGGCAGGAGGCACATGACATTTACCACAATTAAATATTGATGCACAGGCAAATGGGTGCTGTGCACATTCTCAACCATGTCGGAAAGGAGGTGCCACATAAAGTGTGAACGCCTATAGAGCCGCATGCACACCACACTACACCACATCGCACATAAAAGCAGAGAGAGTGTTGCCAAAGTGCCACTTACAGATTCTTGATTTCCACAGCTCCCCTGAAGGCTTTCCTTGGAATTCCCTGAATCTGGTTTTCGCTGAGATCACTGTACAGAGAAGGAGACAGAAAAAATAAAGGTAGCACAGAGTTAAGCCAAGCTATCACAGGGCCACTTGCTTTGCAGACTAAGTACTTGATATAATCATCAAAATGCAGAAGTTGTGGGTGGAGGGCTTCAGAGCCAGATTGATCGTCTGCAAAATTGAGTTCCATCAACACAGAGTACTCCTTCCTCAAATATAATCATCCGTCTTGGTTCATCTCTCAGGGATACATAAAACACTTCCTTTGTGAAGTGTCCACACATTTAGAGCCAGATGCAATTCAACTGTCTGCTTTGAACATCCACACGAGTCAGGTGGAAGAGGCTCTGAGCCCTCCGGCAGCCTGTAGGGGGCACTAGTGACCTCCACTTACCTCAGATTTCTGTTCCTTCTTTCATCACTCCCACTCATCTCTACCTCACTCCAACCACCCTCTCCTCCCCTGCTTTTAAGGAGTGAGTGATGGATATGTGTGTGTGTGTGTGTGTGTGTGTGTGTGTGTGTGTGTGTGTGTGTGTTTTGGAGTTTACATACACTTTAATTTTTAGCCACTTCAAAAAAGCGACAGGTTGGCATTAAAAAAGGAAACACTCACTGCAGTCAGTGATATATATGCAGAACGTGCTAACATGCATACACCCATAGAAGTATAAATACCCTCAAACATACAAACAGGTGCTTCACTGACTAAATGTTATTATAGTGCTTGCCATCATGTGACATACATCCTAACACTCATTGGTGCTGCAGCTTGGTTTATAAAGGACACACACACATGCCCTTAAAGGTGCTGAAGGATGTACTCACAAATAGTTACACGAACAGAGGTGTTAATCACATACGCACACGTGCAAATATAAATAAATTACATAAAGCACAGGCACAAGAATGAATTCAGCTGTCGGGTCAAAATGTGTTACAGCATGTAAAATGAAAGCACTCAAGCAGCTCTGGAAAGATGACACTCAGGCATCCTAAAAGCACCACAGGCTGCCCGGTAGCGAGTGTTTCTGCATGTGTCCTCTGCTTCTAATACAAACCCAAGTTCCAGACAGACCACCTGACCTTTCACCTTTGACCTTCCAGCTCTTGACCCCAACTGTGTCCTCTGCCGCACTAATCGGCTAACAGCTAATGCCCATCCACATTCCTCGCATTCCTGCAGTTGTGATCGTTTAATCAGCGCTACAGGTATCTCTCCACCTGCTGCTTCCAGCCCTTCATCTGAAGTGGTAATTTGTTGCCAGTAATAGAGAAAAATTACAAAGCGCGGCGTTATGAAGACTAAAAACAACAAAGTGGCTTGTTCATTTGGAGCTTTAATATCCAACTGAAAAGACAATGAAAATGCTTCTTTTAGCTTACGAGCCTGTGGGAGGGCTGGCTAGCTGCTGTGAGCTTTGGATTGACAGCTGAGACAGACAGCAGGGGCACAAAGACACAGTGTAAACAAGAGTCCTCTGGTAACTGTAGCTTTTTAAGAGGCGTGTGTTAGGAGTGATACTGAAGAAAAGTAATCCATCATTCTGCAACCACGGCAACAGATTGTGGCGTTGGCAGGTAAATGTTTTGAAGATGTTCAAAGTGTCAGAGCTGAGGCACAAGTTCACTCTCAAGTGTCAAAATGACACAAGTGAATGCACTTTAAGTCAGCGAAAGTGTGCTGAACGTTGCATTCGAGATGGATCTATTCCTCCATATAGAAGTTCAATTTTACATCGCTGCAGTTCAGAGTCTCTGGGCTTTTTTTCTTCTGCACATAATTGCCAAATGTAAGCTGGTGATTTGTGTGAACGCAAGAGAATTAAATGTAAGATGATCAATAGAAGATGTAGATCATTTTTTACAACTGCCTAATCTTTTAAGTGGTTATGATGCTGCTTTCTCTGCCCTGTGAATCATTGTATGCTGAGAATCTTTGGATTTGTTGGATTACCGGTCAGACAAAACACGGAATCTGAGAACGACACGCTGAGCTCCGGAAAATTGTGACGGGAAAAAGCAATAATTAGTTGCAGCCCCCCCCCAGTAAAATGTGTTCACCTTTGCTGTTTTGCACACGCAAAGCGAACACACGTGTGCTTCTTCTCTTTTATGCAGATACGTACACACACACACACACACACACACACACACACA